GAAAAACCTGGTTTAGGAACTACGCAAACTAAATTCAGAGCTGTGTTGTGTTGAGACCTCTTTTAATTCCCGAGATCGTGTCAATATTGGTATGATGTAATAGAAAGCTTTAACCTTTCTTCCTCCCTCGTATTTGAACAGAATTAAGATAGCCTTTATTTATGTTTAAAGATAGGAATTCACTCATCCTCGCCTATGAGGGATAGAGATAGGAACTGACTCATCTCCCGTCGCGCATGGGAGAGATCGAGATCCGGTTCGTTTACAACCACAAACCACAAGGTTTAATTCACTCATCCTCGCCTATGAGGGATAGAGATAGGAACTGACTCATCTCCCGTCGCGCATGGGAGAGATCGAGATCCGGTTCGTTTACAACCACAAACCACAAGGTTCCTGGATAAGAAAAGGTTTCTTAATGAATACGTGAGAAACCTATTTGAAAAGGAAAGGTGGTAAAAATTTTCCAACTGTTGTACCAGCCAACTATTCTTGGCGATGATAAGGCTAACGTTTCTTTGGCAAGACGTCTTACTTAATCTCACTACGAAGAGCCCTCAGTAACCATGACTTGGACTCACGTATATAAAAGTGACTTCCCAAAAATGTTTTGCGACACAATTTCAACAGCGTTTCTTCTTTAATTAGATCACTTGGAATGTTTCTCTAGGAATCTAGGAACTAAATCAAGTAGATTGAGTACAATGACAAAATCACCATCGTCATCTTAGTTTGCTCACTTTGTCAAGAACAAACATTTCTCAGTCCTTAATCCTAGGTTCACAGCAAGTGGCAAAATATTGTTATAAACAGAAGAATTGCAACATATACAAGCTGGATTCGTGCCGAAAACCAATAAATAAACATAGAAGTTGGATTTACCAACTTTGTCTTTAAAAAGGACCAGTAAGATAAAGAGTATACACAACCAGTTTGGAGAATAAACACTTGGGAGTTTCTTAAATAACATTTACAGTCTCCTTCAATATGACTAGCGGTTAATCGTTATAGTTTCTTGAGTTACTGCTATTACCTGGATAGATAAGTGGCTATCGCCACTTATAGCCAAAAAAGGAAATGCTAAAGGTTTTCAATCCCAAAAATGAACATGAAGAAAGGATCAGAGCACTTTAAGGCTTCCAACGGCAAGATACAAAATGATAAAAATTAACCCCTTAAATCAAGTTGTAAACGCCATGGCGGGACTTTTGTTTTTAATGAGACCCTCCAATTTTGTTGTTTTTCGTATAATTAAGGTCTTTTAATGATTTTCTAAAACAATAACAGTTTCACTCACCAAAGGCGTGATAATGTTGATTAGTGTTTACAATGAAGAGCGCACATGTTGTTCTAGCGTAAATTTTAGAAGCTGTAGGACCTCTTGCTTTGATCGCACGGAGAATTATCAAATGGCTTGCAATTGTGAAACTAGAACAATAAAAAATTCAACTCTAGTGTCTCTCTGAGAACCAGACCAGTGTCGCCCAAATAGCTGTTAAGAAGCGATTACCCAGTAGTCCTTACAGTGATTTCGCAAGTCGCGAGCAGGATCTTCCGCTCGGTTCCTCTTTCTCCAACCAAATGAAAGCGAACTGACGATGGAGATACAAGATTTTCGCGTAGGAATTAGTTCCGAAGCTCCATGGCCCATACGTACTGTGGCCAGCCAGTTCTTCCTCGTTTTCTCTGCGTAGGATCGTGGTTTGACGCCGCAGGCTGTGAAAGTGAACGGTATAAGCAGGAACAAATTTGCGAGTGACGTGATTACGTCACTCCACGCAAAGCAAATAATGTTATATTCATGAACTTAAGACAATTATACTTACCATACTCAATTCTCTCTTTCGTTTCTCTCTTCCCTCATTCTGAAATGTTAAATCGGCTACAAATTGATGGTGGCTTCGCGCTGGTTTTCCATCGTTGCTTTCTTCAAGGACTTCCATTAGAAACTTGATGTAGCTTATCGCTAACCTCAGCGTTTTAATTTTCGATAGCTTTGTATCTGGAGGAACGTTAGGAATATGGTCGCGAAGTTCAGCAAATGCTGAGTTCATAGTCAGTGTACGCTTCCTCTCTTTTCGATTTGCTGAACCGCGAGGAACTTCTAACGAGTTAGCTTCATGAAATGAAGCTGTAGGTTGATGTTCTTCGCATGGCTCAACTTTAAGAGGTTTTGATTTCTCGTGTTCTTCCTTAGACGTCCTGTTCATCACGGCCTCAATTGAAATACGGGAAAGGTATGCGACGAAAATATGCTTCAAGGTTCAAGCTTAGCTTAACTGACACTGCAATCACCGAAGAATAGATTTTCAAAGTCGCATCAGTTGAAAATGATACCCAACTGTGAGTTAAACTGGCGGACGGAACTTTATCATCGCTTACCTAACACTTATCATCCAATTACAGCGCTCTAAAAACGTGGAATTAATGATAAGATTGATATGTGTGACAAAATTGATTGTAGATCACTCTTGGTGATCTAAAATGGTGATAAAATTTGACTGGAAAATACAACGGTGTTCTTTTTCTTTGTTTCAATGAAATAAGATAAAAAGCTTACTTGTTCAAGTACTTAAATTTCCTGGCCTTATCACTAACGGACTGAGACTCCTATCTATAAACAAACAAACAAATGAACATTAATTGATGTATTTCCTTGTCTTTAAATTTCCAGGACCGCCCTTCAATCATCAAATATTTTTAAAGTTTATCGTTGCAAGTTTTATGCACGTGTTGTCTTGAACTCATAACTTTACTTAATTCGTGATAGTTTTTAAAAAGGTTTATTTTCATAACATATCACACAAGGTGTCTTTTGTAGGTAAAAAAGTAGAACTTTATTTGTCTATTCCTGTTCAGTAATCGGTAAGTCCACAAGCGTAAATGGAAATTCCTTCGATGTTCTCCGCGCGCGCAGTGTCCGCAAGATTCTTTCGCGTGGCCTCTAATGATAAACACCTCCCTCTTAGAAGTGAGATTATTCAAAACCAAAAGTTCGAGGATTCGCTTAACATGGTCTCACCTCTAACAGCCTTTGACCCGAAACTATCTTTTTGCGCAATTCGCACAAATAGAAAATCCTTTGTCCGTATTATTTTAGACGCATGTCAATCATAAAACCAGTCATTCCGGAAACATTAATGACTTCCGGTCTGTGGATAAACACAAAGTATTTATAAGTCAATTAAGCATAGTGGATGGCGCAAATCCAGAATTCCTAGTGCTGCTGAGCATTATGCGGGCTATATTTACTTACACGCTAAGATAACGGATCTTGCCAGAGACCAAATAAAGCTAATGAAAAAATTAGGGGAAACATACATTACCACTGGAGATTAATTTGTCTCTATGTAGCTTTCCTTTAGACGTGAATCTCTTTGAAACCTTTTCCCTTCTCTTTCTGAGGTTTCTGAAATTTCGCCGGCCAGACGAGCTGAAAAACTTTGAAACACGAGCCTAAAAAAGCCAGCATTTTTAAACGATTGAATGCTTTCCTCTGGGCATTAATAAATGGATAAATTGAACTGACCATATAAAGTCAAACCGCAGATCTTCGAACCGGTTTTTTGCGCTGCAACGGAAAGGAGACATTTTTTAGTTAATGCATGATCTGAAAGAACTAGAATGTAAAATCTTAAGAGTCTTTATGTATTTCGACACCTATGCGTTTAAAGACATAAACCAATTTTTTGGTTTGAGGACGTAAAGTAATCTTCTCACACACATGCACACACACCTAGTTTATCTTGGCCCTAGGGAACTCTCATAGATACATGACAAAGAGGGTACATATTTTTTTTCAAAATAATAATGATAATAATAATTTTTATTATTATTATAAGCATACGCAACTGTCAGTAACCTAGCAGAGTTTTCAATTTTAGAGTAACGAGTGCTCGTTGAATACAGCTTTGCACAGAAAAACATTTTCTTGCTGTTTAAGACTGGGAAAATTTGATCCTTTGAAAAAGAGTGATTTACACCGATGCGGACTGAGAAGCTCTAGATCTCAGATAGTAAGATAAGAGCCATTATTAAAGTCGCCCTGGTACAGCACGATTCTGGCACCGATTTTAAAATTACATTGAACAGAATAGGTGAGGAGCGCAAAATTTTAGCACCTTTAACTTAGCACTAACAGAATCTCTCTCAAGAAAAAAGGTTAAGATATTAGAAGGGAGATTTGCTTGAAGTGTACGTATGTAACAACTGTTGACCTTCACCTGTGAAAGCTTGTGAAAACGAAAAGCGCAACTTGCCTGTGAGGAAATACTGTTAATTGGGGCGCCTCGATCCCAATAAATCGTTTTCCATACCCACTCCCGCGGGCTATTATTGTACTCGGGCCAGTTTTTTACTCAACATAAAAAAAAATCAAGATATTCTATATCTGGAAAGCAGCGAGAGGAATGCCAAGAAAAGTGGGGCACTGTATCATGAATATATTGACTGAACGTTTTACGTTGAGAGATGTTGTAGTTCTTGTTTTTCGATTAAAGATTTAGCCAAAATGAATTTGAAGTTCTTTGAAAGGAAACTTATAATTGCCCCCCCTCGATTAAGAGCCCTCCGTCCAATAAGTGCCTCTTTCTCTTTTCATAAGTATATAATGCATCTTTTAGCCCTCTCTGGGCTTTTTTACAGACCGAAAGAAATGACACAGTAATTCAACCAGTGAAATCTTTATATCCTTTTATAGAATTTGACCTAAAGCCGGAAGGAGGTAAGCCTTCCCGAACGAAAGCCATTATAGGGAGGTCTCTCTCTCTCTCCCCTTGGGCTGACTGCCCCTCATTTGCCCCTCGTTTGTCGACCGATCTTTATCATGATGTCTTTGTATCACCATAAGACTTTATGATGGCCCTTATGATCAGAAGCAGAGTAGAGTATTGGACACGTGCCAGATTTGTTTCCGGTCTCACGTTTTCCCGCCATTTCATAATAGTAACCAGGCCTTGAGGAGAGTGCGGGTAACGCCTGGGAGATATTTGCAGTCAGCCATGTTGGAGCCAATTTTGGATGTTTTGTCCTCACAAAGAATTATCCTTGCGAGTAGTTCTCCAAGAAGAAGTGAAATCCTTCGAAAAATTGTAAGTTCTTTAGATCCTTGGATAGTTTTTGATATTTAACATCGTAATATTGTCACTGATATTAAACTGATAAAAAAATGTTATAGGGACTGAAGTTTGACGTGATTCCATCAAACTTTGAGGAAAACCTAGACAAAAGTGCTTTTAAGCACCCATATGAATATGTTTTGGAAAATTCAAGGCAAAAGGCTCTTGAGGTAGCTGATCGTACAAACAAGGTAAGGCTTAATATTATTGTGAATCGAAAAACTTAAAAGACTCTACCTTCGACGTTCTTGTTGTTGTTTCTTTTCTTCAAGTTTTCAATTGATCTTGATTTGCTAGAATTTAAGATAGTCTTATAATATTTTTATTGGTCATGCATGATATTAGCTGGTAAGAGAATGTACTCTTGTAGCTGGCTGGGCTGGGAGAATGTGACTGCATTGAATATTGACAGCTCTAGTCATCGATATGTGAGAGTCTGTTCAAGGCATAAGAGTTTTCAGTTTTGCATCTAAGAGACCTAAAGGGTTGAAAATTTTATTTAAGGGAACAAAAGGAAAACAGACTATTTTACGGTTGTGCACTGAGTTTCTTGGCCTTGAGTGGATGCAAGGCTGGAAAGTGACTAAAAGTCGGTTTGATAGAAACCTAACTTTTTTTCAAAAAAATATTATAAATCAGGCTCTCAAGCATCTGAATGCTACTGAAGTTTCTGTCAAACCAAATTCACCACCAGCCTCGCTTCCACTAAAAGGCTGAGCCACTTAGCACAAACAGTGATGGGGCCTTTGCTGGTCAGTCTGCAGCATGTTTCACCCTTGACCTTAGGCTATTTTGCATCCCGTGAGTGAGCAAAAAAGTCTTTGACTGGAATATGATAGGCAAATTCCCCCAACAACCTTGATGGGTGAAATCACATACAATCTTCATGGATATTACCGGGAACAGGGATTGGTTTTTTTAGCTTAGGTGGTGGGTACACTTCACCGTGTATGACAATAAAAATAATGCAGTTTATGATAATATTTTTTACCAATTTATAATTATTAGGTTGACAAGGATAACTTGGTCATTGGAGCAGACACAGTCGTTGTAAGTATATTAATTATTTTTTCTCTTAATTAGTGATAATTTAACTGAATGTCTGGTTTAACATGAGTGAATTATTTAACAACTTTTTACAGGTTTTGAATGAAAAAATTCTGGAAAAACCCAAAGACAAAGAGAATGCTTATGAAATGTTAAAAAGGTGACCTATGATATTTTTGTGTATTTTTGTATCTAAGAGTACTTAACATTTAAGCCAGAACTAGCTGGCCAGAGCAGTTTAGTCAAATTGAAAATTCTACTATAACTAGGTCTAGCCAGCCAGCTTAGTCTGTTCCAAAACAGTGCACTAAGCTTTGACAGGATTTTAGCAAAAATTTTAAAATGAACAGTCCATTGAACCATTCTGACTTGGCAAGTGCCCTAAAGGTGATGATATACAGGACAATTAGCAGCGACGATTTTTAGCACAGTACAGCGTTGCAATGTTGGAACAATGTTGCAACTATTCGAAACAATGTTCCAACAATGTTGCAAGGTTGTGTTGGGCTAAAAATCATCGTTGCGAATCATCTCGTGTAACATCATTATAAGTCTTGGTGCTTGTGGAGGGCTGTCATTATAAAGATTTCAAATTGCCTTGAGTATAGGAAATTGAACTACTAGAGGGTTCTTTTGTTTTAATTATTTTGTTGCTTTTGTTTCCTATGAAAGTACACATGTAGCTGGGGTTCTTGCTCATTCTAGCTGGGGAAAATTCTTGGCCCCCAGCCCTTTATGACAGCCTTGCTCAGCGATGCATAAATATGGGGCATATTGCCATTTGTTGATATTCCTTTAAGCTGTCTTGTTTTGACCAGTTGACCAATCTCAATGTGAAAAGTGAGTAGTTAACACCAATGTTTAATATGATAACATCTAGATAGTCAGACTAGTCAGATGATCCACATAATAATACCTGTAGAACAAACTAAAACATCTCAGTAGTTTGATTAGTCACACTAAAATCAATTTATTAACTTGAAAACTGAATTAAAAATGTGTTCAATTTAAAGGCCACAATCGTATTGCAAATTCTGTGTAAGTTGTGACTGTAGATATAACTAGATATCAGTGTATTTTAATTAGATTTTTGCTTGAAAATGTAGTCTACATGTAATATTAGATTTGCTTTTGTTTGACTCACAATGAGAGTTATTCTTACTGCATGACAACCATAAACAAGTGTAGTGCCCTAATAACTGAAACATTCAAAATAAAAGCAGCAATTTGTATGACCCTCGACTAACTTTTTGTAACTGAAACAAGCATATTTATAGTTTGAGTGGCAGGGACCATAAAGTGTTCAGTGGTGTTACCCTTGTGCAGAGAGACTTTAAAGGTTGGTTAATGAACTATATGGCATAATAAATGGTCTAAAGTGAGAATTTAGGGTACAGGTATCAAATTTAAAACACAGACAGTTGCAATGACTCAGTTTCTGAACTTCTTAACTGCCTACTCCAGGTTTCAGATTCCCATAACTTTCTCAGCAAATCCTCCCTTGCAATGCATTTCTGTTTCCAAATTTTTCCTTACACTTCTCTTGACCACACAATTACAGACTATCATGATTGCTCCTGGCCTCTAAGGTCAACTAAATAACTCTCAGCAATCCTCATCTGTATTGAAGATTCTCCAAAGCTTTTTCACCTATACCAGTAGAGGTTTCTGAAGTTAACAAGAAATAACGTTTTCCAATTGTAGATTTAAAAGATTCCAAAATCATCCAGTTTTATGAAGAGACGTTAGTATCATTTGGAGAGTTAACAGATGATGTCATTCATGGCTACATTAAAACCGGAGAACCTATGTAAGTTGTAGATAATCTATAAATGCCATTGTGTAGTGTCCTCTATCATGTCACACACATAATCTACAAATCTCTACAGTGATGATTCTAGTGAAAGGTTCTAATAATTATTAAGTATTGTAAGGAGAAAACTGCTGATTAAAACTGTAAAGATAGTCACAGCTAATTACATGTATGTCAGAAGGTCAATGCAATATAGATTGTATTTTTTGCATGAAATCACATGTAGGATGTGGAGTTGGAAATGTCTCAATACACTGTAGAGTCTCTCTCTCACCCCCTCTTCCCACTTCCAGTTCCTCTATTTTTGTTGAGCGCTTCAAGAGTACATGTAGTTACTACTCCCCTCAGCATTTGTTGTTTGTAGTCCTTCACAAACGTATCAGCTTCTCTTGCAGTCTACAATTATGTTTTTATCCTGCTGATCAACCACCTGTAAAATTCTAGAAGATTTCTATGAATATTATTTTAATTAACATCAGAAATGTGCTACTTTTTTCAGGGACAAAGCTGGATCATATCCTTTTATAAAGTGTGCGTTTTGTAGTCTAATTTGAAGTGCTATTTAAGAGTCTGACCTCTGCTAACCTTTGCTTTCACCCCCAAAATTAGTGTACCAGAAAAAAGTCTTATGTCACTTTCCCGAAAGGAAAAAATTAATTGTACAATATATGAAAGTTCTGCGAGCAAAGTTTCATTGGATTGCATGTGGTTACAATAGAGGATTTCATCCACAGACTCCGTCAAAATTAACTTAAGTAGGGAAAAGATGATTTTCGAAAGGATGATCAAATTATTTCTTATCTCAAACTCATTAAAGGCTTGGCTTTCGTGCACATTTGCTGGTACAGTGGAACCCTGCCTTATGACCACCTTGTTATCACGACCATATTCTTTTGACCCAAACTAAAATCACTGAGTCATTTTATTATTTTAAAGACCCTGTTAATGGGACCACTTCATTATCACGATCAGGATTTTGACCCAAAGGTGATCGCATTAAAGTGCCCATCACTTAAAATTTTATATTTTCTTATCTGAAACTATACCTTATTAAAATAACTTCTGCAAAAAATTTTGCCATTTGAGCAAAACTCAAATTTTTAACCAATTTTTGAAGTCTACATTTTTTGTGGTACACCCGTGCCGCTAATCATGCAAACTAGCAGGCTCATATATGACCTCATGTGACATAAATTGAGGAACTCGCATTACCTTTCCTTCACCAGCTGTACACAAAAAAGATCAATTAAAAGTAAGGATTGAATCACAATGTCTTCGCAAGAAGAAAGTTTTCCTGAAACTGAAAAACCTATCAGAACTCTTAATGTTTTCCTGTCGATAAAGTCATGTGTTCCTTAAAGTACGTCATATGACGTCATAATACCAGAGAAGACTAAGACGAATGATGTGCCAAAATGGCGGCAAATTCGAACGTTTTTAAAAAATTCTAAAAAAAATCGTCTCTGGTTCAAATCACAAAATTTTTTCGCAGAAGTTATTTTAATATGGTGTAGCTTCAGATAAGAAAATAAAAAACTTTAGGCGATGGGTACTTTAACAGAGTTCAACTAAATTTTCTTTCAAATTTGTTCACTTGACTGTGTTTTTCCTTAACTTAACTTATTTATGGAATCCAGGGTATTGGTGGTACACTTGTCAAGTCTATTCACGGTGACTACTTCAATGTCATGGGATTTCCACTACATCATTTCTGTCTTCAAATTAGAAAATTGTACTCTGATAAAATCAGCTGACAAAGCAAACCTTGTTTTCATATTAAAGGAATCAATAACATTATTGTAATAAGTACTGTATACCAAGTCCTTTCCATTCCGAGTCAAAAATGGGGAGGAGTGTTGGGTAATATCTTTGGTTTATTGGGTAACCTGTTAAAGTTTCCTTCACAGTCGTTATTATTAGGGTCATCATACATACATCTCCCCAGCATTATGGCTGACTCTAATAACATCTGCAGAGGAGATTAAGTTGCCTGTGCCTTACATTAAGGACCTTATTATCAACTGTGACAGTTGATAAAACAAATTTTGGTACCTCACTCTCCTACAGTGCCACCACTGCCAGACTGTGGCAGAGTTTATTTTTAAGCAAACCATTAGTTACTGAAAAAAGCAGCTTCTCAGTAAGCTGCAACCAAAGAAAAACATCAACCAAACAGCTGCTACTTGAGTGAACCAGCATCAGGATCCCACAACCTGGAGCCAGCAATTCCCATGTATTTGTTGTGGTTCAATTTTATCCTGGGTTCAAATTTTAACATTTGAAAGTACAAATTTAAATGGAGATCTGTTCTGATTAAATGACGTTTTGAGTGCTGGCCAAAAGCATATATCCCTCAGAGCAAATTGATACCCTCTGACAAAATGGCCAGAGAAGAAAAGTCCATATTCTTTACATTTTGCAAAATGTTATATTTTGTTCTTTGCAAGAAATGCATGTGCAGTGTATAAGGGGTGGATCCAGGATTTTTTGTAGGAGGGAGTGCACTCATCTCTTGCTCTACTTCAACACCAATAAACCACGTAGTTTTTTTTTCGCAGAATACCAGTTGTATTAGAAAACCGCAGGTCATCTTGGGGGGGGGGAGGGGTGCGCACCCCCTACACCCTTCCCCTAGATCCACCCCTGTGTATACAAATTAATTTCATGAGAAGCTGATCATTGCACGTGTAAATTGTGCAAAGAACAAAAGATTTTGCAATAGTCAGGTTTACATGAAGCACCGCCTGAACAAGAATTTGAAGAAAATTGTGGAATTTTTTCTGCTTTGGACAATCCTCTGCCTTTGCTATTTGGATGATCCCAACTCGCTCCTTATTGCGTTCGAGGTGCGAGAACGCAACCCCTAATTTGTGTTGGGTGTCCTGTGCATTATTGGGTTTTGTCGAGATTGCATTCGTCGTCGACACACATTTGCCTCGCTTTGAGGCGCTTGCTTACGTTTTGCCTCACTTTGACGCGCTAACTCACATGGTGATTCGCGTGTCCTCGGCGTTCATCTTTCAAACGTTTGCTGAGGTCTGCTATTCTGTCTTCGTAAATCGTTCATCTTTTAAAAGTGTGCTGAATCTTCGTAAAGCGTACATAGGGGTTGCTGAAGGTCTACTATAGGTCGGTGTTTTTGAATCTTCAAAGGGTTCATCTTTCAAAAGTGTGATGAAAGTTTACACTCTGGGAAAAATTTTACTTTAGATTAAGCCTTCATATTTTTCTTTGGAAAATGCATGCTACTCCTGGTGCATGCATCAAACCGGGTTGTTTAGCTCGGCGTCCGTTGTACCACAAAGTAAATTTACCGGCGAGTTGTGAAGTTCAGCGTCTGTTGTGCCACAAAGTAAATCTACCGAGTTGTGTAGCTCGGCGGCCGTTATTCCACAAAGTAAATCTACCAAGATGTGAAGCTCGGTGCCACCATTTCATCAAGACTTGTGATGTTTTCGGCACTGGACAAACGAACATTTTAGCTCTATGTAAGACGGGTCTTAGGTCTTAGTTTTCGTAACACCCGCTCTATGTTATTTATTTGGAAAAACGTGACCAGCCCACAGTAGCGCCACTCAAGCCACTGAAATCAATACACTCGACCAAATTACGCGAAAAGTTATTTGACGTGAGCCGCACACACATTTCACTGAAGGCTTTGATGATTCCCTTGAAACGTGTGAAATTGAGAGGTGTAGTGTAAGTGAACAAGTGTTCAAACACAATCATTGTACCCCGGCATTCACCACAAAAATTTGGTCTTGGGTCGTTCTTTAATATCATCACAAGTTAAGAAGACTTGCCAGTAACGGTTTCCGACATTTTACAGTAAATTTCAGTAATTGTCTACATGTGGAATTCCCAATATTAAATAAAATTAATGATTACATCTAAAACTTTGTCAACTGTTTGCTTTTTAACAGTACCTGGGCCGGGTTGTTCAAAGCTGGGTTAAGATAACCCAGGCGAGGAGGGTTAGTGCGAAATTTGAACTCAGATGTGAGAGCTTCTTTTTGCCAACAAGTTGATGATTGGACGCTCTTAAAAATAACTGAGAAAGTTATCCAAAGAAATGCCTTTTAACAAAAGAAAAAGAAACCCGGGTTAAGCGCTAATCGGCCTTCGAACAACTGCGCCCTGTAGAACATCTATTGCGCCAGTAAAACAAAAAGTTCTTTTTACACGCCCGAAGCACTCTGGCCAATGTCTCCTCAAATAGTAAGCACTTGAGACGAACCATACGATATCACGCTGATCACTAGCCTTCAAAACCTTTTCATTTTCATACTCAGTTTAAATCGAGGTTTCGCTGTACGCAACCCTTACGTTCAAAATATCCCATAATGATAGTTATCTATCGCAAGAACCATCCACCCTTTCCCCTCAACTGCTACCTGAACGCCTAGCAAACATATCGAACGCACTCTCCTAAGCTCCGATTACTCCTAGTCTAAAGACTACTTTTATTCTTTACTTATGAAGGGCGTAGCCAGCTTTTCGGCTACTTGAAGGCCTGGCTGACTTTTCATTTCGACATATCCTGAAAATTGTACCCATGACTGTAGTACAGACTGACCTCACCAACACTTTGACCTCTTAAGCCTTTTAGCTCACCCCAACAGTGCATATTCTATTACAAGCGGTAGAGTAATCAAACCAAACAATTTGTAGGCCCGGGCCTACAGGTCTATGGGCTGGCTACACCCCTGCTTATGTAAATATATTTATTTGTCTCTCTTTTTTTTTCAATCTGTATCACATGTAAACGGAGCTGAGTGAAAAAAATCTTCTTGTTCTTGTTCCCACGTATTTCCTCCTTTTCCAAAGCCCCTCTTTTGCAAATTCTCCACCTCCTCTTACTCTTCACACTCAGGTTTTTTTTTTTTTTGCTTTGTGACGGTTTTTGTGGCAGGTCTTATGAGGTTGGCATAATTAACTAGGGCCTTTTTCCTCAATCATCTCCAGACACTGGGCCCCTACGTTCTGGTGCAGATCAAGCAGCCTCCTTTCCAGGGTCCCTTCGACCCTGGAAACGAGGGTTGGCAGATCAGTCAATCTATCTACTTGAGATTAAGTGTGTTCATTCGGACGTCCAATTATTCTTTTGAATAAAATAAGAGATTATTAATTTTAAATTGAAAAGACAGGACTAATAACTGATAATCATTTGATGTGGTAAATTTATTCCTCTGTCAACAAAGTAATTTGATTTCCTAGTAAACACTCTTAAAGCACTAAACTCACTTTCAAAATTTTAAACTTCTACATAACTCTTGAGATCACATTTAGATCTTCATATTTTCCAGGCATGAGTCTTATTTGCAATTTTTGCTACATAGCAACTCGAATGATATTATCAAGAACTTCAATATTTTTCTGCAATCGGGGAATAAACTAATTTTTGTGATGTAAGATTTTAATGTAACAGGGTAATGACGTTTATTATGCGGTTAATTGTATGAGTAGAAGCGTTTTTTACAGAGAAAAACAATTTACTGGTTTGTCCCCTATATTTGCTTTTGAGAAGATTATCAAGATATATTCGACCGTAGAATTAATTGTTACACACTGAAAACAGCACGCTGCGTCCGTCTTAACCAGTAACATGCTCAACCCATGGAGTTCAAGAAAAAATTGGAAAACTAACAGGGATCACCTTTAAGTCGGTTCGTTAACAGAGATTCTACAGTCAAATTAAAGTATTAGATCTCTGGATAAACGCGCGATATACGCCTTAAAAGAAAGTAAAAAAGCTCTTGAGTGCAAGACAGCGAGTCCATTGGAACATATTAGCGCGAACGGTCGTTTTCATGCAAACTTGAGCGAAGCTTTCTATAATATGTGTCCTTTCTGGAATGCATTTTAACTGGATATCTGGGGGAGTGCACACCAACAGTGAGCGAAACACCAAACGTGGCTTAGTGTTGAAGCTCATGAAACTTGTTGGTTTCGCGTAGAATTTCAATACATATGGTTATACCACTATTAAACTCTCTTATATACATTATGACTTCATAAAAATCTCGCATGAATACAATATGTTACAATTTGAATTTTCCCACTAAATTTGGATATGTTTCAAACGTAAGTATGTAAAAATACTCTTCTTCAGAGTTTGCAAAAAACTTCTTCCTCTTTAGGCACGTATAAGTTAAATAGGCCTTGTCGCTTGGATTGGATGTTCTTTCCTGTTTTTCAGACCAAATCTGGGCAGTACTTCAGTAATGAGGTGATATCAGCCTACTTCACGTGGGGTTTTCGTCAACTTGCATCTGAGGAGTCCTGCAACAAGGAAGTGTGAAGTTGGTTAGAAGGCGAACTAAAACACATTGTTGACCACCTTACTCGCAGTTGGATTACAGCTTAAAAACCAAAAAATGCCTGCCACTTAAAGCTTTACAGGAGGTTTCACACCGACGACGGCAACAACAACGACAAGAAAAACAATAGCTTTCACAACCAAGGCAAGAACTGCGCGCTTGTGATACACTTTTTGCCATCCTCTGGGGCGTTTTATAGAGCACCTGAACACCTGGTAACGGTGTTGCCTTTCTCTTTTCTATCTTGGTTGCGATCTTTAACACATTAGTGAGTTTGCGCAACAGGACAGGAGAAAAAAGAGGACGGAAAAACGTTTGTGTGTGACAAACGTGACAGGGCTATTCCTTGCGTGTTTTTTAGCGATCTTTACTTAAATTAATGTTTTCTGGTCTTTAACAAAAAGATCTGGTGAAGGAGGGTGAAGTTTGGAGGAAAGTTTTTCAAGGCAATATTGTCTCGCTTGTCAAACAAGGTTTGCCGTGTTGGAGAGTAAGTTGCACGTTCTAGTTTCATTTACACTTTTGTCGTCGTAGCTATGTACACTCCTTTGGAATAAGAGACTACACCGTCCCGTTCCCTTCATTGTGAACGCGAAAAAAAAAAAACCGGGGGACAAGTACGCTGGAATACATACGTCATCATCGCTTCGCCTGCGGATTGGTGAAATGACTCTTCGCCCGTTGTCGCTGTGATCAGAGACCAGGGGTGAAGACATGTCTTTTGGCTTTAGTCTCGCAAAATCACCACTGCTGAACGAAGTATGAAGTCTTTGGTCTGTGTTGCGAGAATAACGGCTCGTCAATGATTCTCCTGTAGAGAGTAAAAAAAGAAGGTAGTAGAAAATGTTACATAGATTACTGGTTTCACCCACTTTTAATATTTCTTGGAGTTGATCCTCCTCCGAAGCTGTTCCCTTGTCAGTAGGGGCGAAATGCGAGGACTTTCTTATCCTCCCCCCCCCCCCCCCCCCCCCCCCCCCCCCGAAAAAAAAAAAAAAAAAGAAGAAAAAAAAAAAAAAAAAAAAAAAAATAAAAAGAGAAGTGTTTTGTTGTGGGGTTGGTTGGTGTGTTTTTTGTTCATGATGGAGGGGAGGTGGGGATGCACAAACGGGGGGTGGGTGGGTTAGTGTTAATAAGACATTGATCAATNTGAGCGCTTTGGGTGCTATAGGTAAATCGCTACAAGATTACCGTTTGCATAAAATCTTTTCCGTGTTACTTTTAATTATTTTACGCAGCAAAAGTGCGATATTTTCTTAAAATGTTGTGATTTTCAACGCTTTTGAAAGAAAACCAGGGTTTGTACAGAGTCTTGAATTCTTAAGAAAGTCTTGAAATTTACCCAACAATTTTCCAGGCCTGGAAAAAGTCTGGAAAATAGAGATGAGGTCCGCAAAAATGGTAAATTTTTAAGCTACAACTTGTGCTTTATGGGTGAAGTTTTCTCGTTTTCGTCAAATCTTATTCAATCTCGCGTCAAAGATAAGCAAATGTCCTGGAATTCTCACAAGATTGAGACACTTTGTTCCCACTGGTACTTCACTAAACATTTTCTTTGGGTTGTTTTCCTACTCATATACCTTGTCAGTAACTGTGCTAACATTGTGGGTGGCTCCTCCTAATGTAACGTCCATGGAAATATGTCAATCAATAACCTTCAATAAACTACGTGCGCAGCACATCGTGAAAACAGCTTTGTTTTTGCGTTTTTTTAAAGGTCTCGTTTGATCATCTGTTTGATAACCTCGAGTCTGGAAGATATATTAATAAAAGTTTTGCAAAAACGTCTGGAAAAGTCTTGAATTTTGGTTCCAAAAATCTGTAAGAACCCCGGACGAAAAAAAGGCTAATATTAACAGACTTACTTGAGGCTGAGCCCGTGATATCCCTCTCTCTTCGACTTGTTTCTTGTAATAATCTTTCTCTGTTGAAGTAACATCGTTAGTTCGCTTTAAGGAAGGGCCCAACAATCTTTTGTGTATTAAGGTGATCGCAACGACGATTTTTAGCGCAACACAGCGTTGCAATGTTGGATCAATGTTGTACCTATTCGAAACAATGTCGCAACAATGTTGCAACGCTGCGTTGCGCTAAAAATCGTCGTTGCGAATCACCTCGTGAAACATCTTCCTTAGTCCGCGTATTGACTTTAGTGTTAATTTCCACTGTCGCGTAATTTTTACTTGCATAAAATTTACGTTCGCAAATAAAATAGAGGCAATGTATGAAAGGTCGCACGTAAGCGTAAACGTAGAACCTCAGTCAACTTCACGTTTAATCTCAACACTTCATATGTTGCCTTTATTTTATTTACGTGATTAAAATTTACGTGCGTAGCCAAAAACGCGTCAGTGCAAATCAACCTTTATCCACGGTTAGGATGGGATTGTATACAGGTTGGTTGTTTTGAACAAAATCCCCAATTCCGTCCACTTGAATGCGGCAAACTGACCTGCTTTCCCGGTTTTGTGAGTAGAGAAGCTCTAAACCTTCCTCTTTTTTATATAAATATGTTGTTCTAACATTTCTTCGGTAAAGTCTATATCAGGCAAGTATGATGGCACATTGTAGGAACAGCAACCTATAAAAATCTAATTTGGCAAGGTTCAATCTGGTGTACCTGATGATCCACATGGCCAAAGTTTATACCGTAAAATTCCGAAAATAAGCCCCGGGGCTTATATTTTTCAAAGTCCCTTTTTGAGGGGCTTATTTTTGGAGGGGCTTATATTCGGAGGGGCTTATCTAGGGAGGGAAAGTTGCGTTTCAAAATCGATTGGGCTAGTCTTATAGTTGGAAGTAAATTTACCGTTTTTGCTTTGTTTTACTTTGTATTTGAGGGCAATTTTCCAAGACAAGCCCCCGGGGGGCTTATATTTGGAGGGGCGATTTAACGGAGGGGTTTTTGCGTTACCTGTTTGGGGGCTTATGTCTGGAGGGGCTTATTTTCGGAATTTTACGGTATGCACATAAATCTTATGGGTAGTACACTATCTTGTCACTATTTACCTTTCAAACTTCTCATTTGCTAATTGTTTCTTTAGCTTAGACACTTCGTCTTCAAGTCTTTCTGAAGCTTTGCGTAACGTGTTAACCTCCTGCCGCTGATAGGTTCTGCAAAACACCAAACTATGACATCAAATTTGACAGACTGCACAGCATTTTGTGCTCTCTTTAACTTGAGATACCAGGGTTTAGCGAGTCGTGTTTGAGTCCTCCGTTTGACAATGGTCTTTCATTTAAACGACAATTCTTTTGCGTGTCTGACTTAAGCCGAATAAGGCCAATTGCTGAGTAAAAGTTAGGACACTGGTGAGAAAACACAAGCTGACATGTATGCCTTGCCCTCCACCACCCAACAGTGGAACGTTATAGAAACTTACTTTTCCTGGTCTGTTTTTGCCAGCCTGTCTTTTAGTCTGTCCACTTCGTCCATCGTGTTCTCCAGAGATTTTCGTCCAACGAATTCCTGCGTGGATAGCAAAAGTTTGTTGTAACTAAGCTTTCTGATGTCTCCTGTTTTTGGCAATGAAGAAATGATAAATAATATAAAACCTTTTCTCTTTGTTTTGCAAGAACTCCCTCAAGACTTCTAACGGTTTCTTTCTCTGAGAACACCTGTGAACAATAAAGGCATCAACAGGAAGGTCTTTGAAACATTTAACGCGTCCGTTAATTCTAACCATTATTTTAAATGTCTTGGGGGTTGAATAAGTGTTTTAACTTTTTTGTCTAATAGTCACTGAGATTGCTAATTACCGTTGCTATAGAACCGAAAGATAGATAAACAAGTTTGTTCTAAAAGAAACTTTGGTTTCCAACCCTAAAGGCGGATTTCCACTGTCACGTAATTTTTACGCACACACGCACGAAAATTGAACGCGCGTTAATGAAATAAAGGCAATGTATGGAAGGTCGCGCGTAAACGTAAGTTGAACTTCGCTCCACTTTTACGTAACGTACGACCTTTCATATATTCAGGATCAGTGATACCATATTAAATCATTTTGTGAACGGTTGGATTTAGTCTCTGCAGGCTTCATTAATCACAAAAGTGTCGAAGGGTCGTTACTTTTCGGAATTTTATGGTATCAAACCCAACGCTTATCTCACAACCGTTACTTAGGTCGTCAGGCAATGCTCCAGAGAGAGCATTGCGTGACGACTCCAATAACACCTGCTCTGCTTAGGTAGGAGACTAGAGTTATCGGTGCCAAACCTTTTGCCGTAAAGTGTCCGTTTCAATCTTGGCTTCATCGAGTAGCTCACGCAACTAAAAACAAAAAGGAAAAAAAATCTTGAAAACAGAGGAACGCACAAAAGCAAGCAAATGTTTAGCCTGCGAGCAAGCTCTCCTATTTGGGCGAGTGAAACGAGTCTCGCGAGAACACGCGAGCGAACGAGGCTCGCTTCGCTTTCCCAAATAGGAGAGCTTGCTCGCAGGCTATCAAATGTTTTGATTGGCTGTGCAAGCTTAACTGGCTTGCGACTCAACAAGTAATACTAGCCTGCGACCAGTCTTGTTGAGCTTTTAACTTTATTGCAATTTGAGGTTCCACAAAGTCACAGTTGTGACCATAGCACAAATGATATCATCGTGGCCTGATTAAGCAGAGTTATCCGCCTCAAGATCATGCCTTTGCACTTTGCCTTCCTCTGCAATAACAAGCGCACTCTAGCGAGCTCTACGTTTGTGTATAGAAGGCTTGTTAAAGGACGGGTTTAGCAGCCTGCGACCAAGCATTCTTTTTAAGAATATTTTTGATATCTTAATCTTCCATCCACTTTGATCCTCCATCATGTTAAATTTGTGGTACAAATTCACAGTATTGAGTACCTGATCATGGTCTAAAGCTTTCGCAGCAAGTTGCCTGGAGAGCGACTCTCGTGTTTGATCGAGTTTCATGCATAGTTCTCTGACAGCTGTAAGATCTTGCATCATACTCTCCTACCAAATAAAGAAAAAAAAAACAACAATTTTTAAAACATTGCAACAATAACACTTTTACAGTAACAGCTGTATTTACAAACACCCACGGGACCCAAGGCTGGAGAGTAAGCCTAACGGGAGTTCCGCTAGCGTCCACATCAAAAGGATATCAGCTGAAGACAAATTCATTTGTTGCGGGCGACAAGAGGAGCCCGCAATCCTGATGTCCCGGCTACTATTACGCGCGCTTAGCACTTCTGTAGCCAGCATTCACTCACTTGGACTTCCACTGAGAATAAATGGAAAGCTTATGGAATGCATAAAACTAAAATTTAATCTGATCATGCAAGTGTTTGTACCATCTATCACTTGAAATCTGATCACGCGCGTTTTGGCTTTCTATCACGTGAAACTTACCAAAGCACAGCGCTGGAGCAAGAGCGTTGGGATCCTCGATCAGAAGCCGGGGTCAGAAACATTCCCTAACTTTTGGTATACAAATTATGGGAATGAATCGAAATATGGCCCCCCAAAACACCTGTTGTACAAGCTAAACCTGAAGGTCAAATCTATCGCCATTTAGTTTTAAAAAAGCGAAATATCCTGAAAACCACTTACCCTGTCCTCATTGGCCAGTCTGAGCTGTTCTTCCATTTGAGCGAGGGATCTGGTAAGGCTGGTCACTTGAATTTCATAAGCTTGATGAGATGCGCTATACTGATTGGATAATTCGTTACAGTTACATAATGTCCTGTACATTACAGGGAGGGAGGAAAGGTAGTTTTTCCAACCCCGTTTTTCCAATACTGGCACTAAGTTGGTCTAGTTTCGTATAAGAAGCGTTTCCCGACTAAAATAATACACGTGGGTCAAGTTCCTAAGACGACGTTTCACGAAGTTTTACGAAGGGGTCTCGACAGTCGACAGTAATTTCCCGCTTCGCCGTTCTGAGTGGGAAGAAGGGTCTGGGGAGAGGTCGTTTGAAATGGCAGCAACCAGCGCAAGCAGAATAGTCTGTCCCAGGCTCCCATTCAGTGAAAAAAAAGCGTAAAGAAAAGCGAGTCCTTGCCTGTTTTCTTTTCTTTTCGCTCGTTCCCACTTACTAAGAGCCTGAAACAGGATGTCAGTAGAACCGAAAAAGAAGCAAGGGGAAAAAACTGTTCGAGCGAATATTGTCTGCTCGACGTTCATTCAGTTTGTGTGCAGTTCACAGTCCGCAATAGAGCTTTTTTGATGCGTTTCAGAGACGAACGTAAAACACGAAGGTTGAAACACGCCTGACGCCCTTTTCATTGCACTCAAGTGACGCAATCATCCTCGTCCGAGGATTTTTATATATTTAAATTAACTTTTTAACACACTAAGGACAACAAGTTATGACAGGGATAAGATCACCTTTTACTTGTTTTAGCTCTTTAAAATTAACTGATATGTCATTATCTTTGATGTACAGTAGATTATTCACTCTCGCCCTTTTAAAAATCGCAATAAGAAAACCGTACATTTATAGCTGCATTAATTTCACTAATAGAGTTTATACATTACGAAGGTACATTATATCAAACAAAATACCATTGTCATAAATAAACGAACAGTTAAACGATAATTTATTTCCCGCAACAATATTAATTTTATTTTAGGTTTTATGAAATTTTATATCAGCGTAGAGATGTTTGGAAGATAAAAACTATAAGCTTATCGTAGAAAGGTAATTTATGCGTTTACAAGCTTTAACAGACTTAAACTTCTTACTAATTTAACATTTGTTCTCAACTAATTTATTAGAATTTTAAATACATGTAATATATGAAATTACTTTCTAACAATAATCTTACGATATGTAGCTGGATTGTCGTCCTGGGTTCCTCATGATTATACTTTTAATGTATACATTTGTAAAATCTTTACTTAAGGAGAAGAATAAGTTCGTTTCTCCTGTCTTAATGATGTTAAAGAGTGTATTGGGGTGAGGAGTACGGTATTATCTCAATTTAATTGCTAAAACGTAACTTAAGTATCAATTTAACTTGAGTATTCGTGAGAGGATAATCGTCGATGATCAATATCCCTTCTCATATGTCGCCGTTTATTAGCAAGTGCGTCTTGCACCTAACGAAATAATTTGCAAACAAAACAAGTCAAAATAAATCTTTTCTATACCAGTGAATATTTTGCCCCTTACACATTTTCATAACCGTTGGGTCTTCAGAATAACTTGTCAATTCTTTTTAGAGTGGTTTTCGTTTGAGTGTCGTAAAACCAAAACCAAAGTAATTACTCTGGCCAATCACATAGGACGCAGACAATACATTGAACCAATCAAAACTCGAAGTAATTACATGTGGCTGACGCAAAGCGCGGGAAAATGCATGCGAGCGCGTCACAATTGGCTTTGGTTTTACTTCTGATTGGATGAAAAGGTGGCGCGAATCTTTTAAGCCAATCGCATCGTGTAGAAAGTGCAAAACCAATTACTTTTCGACACTCAAATGAAAACCGCTCTATTATTTTTTCCCCACATTTTTTATTCATCGTTTTAAGACTTGTTTACGATAAATCGTTTTCCTATGACGTAGTGTAAATGAAAACACATATCGGGTTTTTCCTTTAAAAGGAAAAATGCTCTGTTTCCTTTCTCACTTTTAAGAAAATTCGTCAAAGAAATAGACTCAAATATTTAACTTCTTAAGCTACCCGAAACGTAACTTTACCATACATTGAATGGTTATCAGTTTTTATTTAGAATTAAACACTCTACATACATTAGTCAAAACAAACAAGGACCTTGTAAACGTTGGTTAAGTTTTTACCAAAAGAAATTTTCTCATTACACGATTCATTTTTAATTGAATTGAATTTCGTCAGCACATAGCCAAATACATTACTTCGGCCAATCACAAGAAAATACCGATAACCAACCAGATCAAGCAAATACGTGTGGTCGACGCGAAAGGAGGGAAATTCATTCAAGCAAGTTATAAATGGGTAGTAAAATGGCTTTGGATTTTCTAGCCAAAGACAGCGTAACAGAAAAAAACTCAAATGAAGTTTCACTTACCTGTTCAATTTCACTCTCAAGCCGTCTGATCTTGCTGTTAAGTTCCATTTCTGATCTTTGTTTATCCATCAGTTCAACGTGGTAGGTGGACATTTTTCCAGCTGACAACTTTGATTCTGTCACGAGCCGCTCTGTTTCACCGGTCAGAAGCTGATACTGTTCCAGTAATTCTTCTTTTTCTTGATCCTGCGTTTAAAACACTGGTCAATCGTTGCTCATATCTAAACTTAGAATACGAGCGGTTTCTTATCTATCAAAGGGACCGTCAAGTAAGCAACAACACGAGTACGCACGAAAGTTGCCTACACACGTCAGCGTCATTTTCCTTCCGTCCCCGCGCGTTGTGTTTTCTCGCGCGAGCCAATTTCTCGCTCACGCGCGAGACAAATGAGGAGCCAATGACGCATAGCCTGATACAGCTATAATTTTATAAACATATGAAGACGTTGATTTTCCAATCAATTAAAGAAAATGTGCAAAATAAAGCACATACTTTTACTTATATTTCCGGTTAAAAAGAAGTTTCTCAAGGGTTTTCCTCTAGTAAAAAGTTCATATCGTCAGCTAAACCAGAAACAACACAATTAGAACGCCTCTGCTTTTTTATGAAAAAACTTACAACTCGACTAAGTTTCTTGATAAAACAACAAAAACGTAACAAAACAGAACAGAAACCAAAACATACACTTTAGAAAACACATAACGAATTGGCTAAAACAACAGATGATGTTATTGGCCATTTAGAGGTTGTGCGTGAGACTGGGTCATTGCTGTCTCGAATTGCACTATGGGATTGTTTTTTCGGGTCGAATTCTGACCCAGTTTCCCGTGTGACTTTGTTACAGCCAATAAAAGAAAAGATAGCGTTCCAAAAACAGTCCCATAATACAATTCGATGACGCCGGGCCAGTCTCACGCGCAACTAAATGGCCAATGCGCGTGCGTATAAGGTAAGTTAACTGACCTTCTCAGCTAGGAGTTCTTCTACCCGTGCCACTTGTCTAGCATATTCCGCTATTTGCACCTTGAGACTTTCCTGTTCTTCCAACGCTTCCTGCAGCTGCTGATGAATCGCCTGAAACAAAAAAAAATTATTAGCCCGTGAAAACAGCCGACATTTCGCGACGCCACCACTGGTTTCTTCACGAAATGACGTCTTAGTAACGAGCGTAGGAATTCCGTACTGATGACGTGTCACTACCCAGATCTGGGTAGTGCTTCTAATTGGTGGAAGCAATTTTTCAACTAATCACAGCATTAACCAGATCTGGCCCCGGTTGTTCAAACATTGGATAGCGCTATCCACCGGATAAATCACTATCCAGCGGATAAGTATTACGGAAATCAAGTACGCTACCCGCTGGATAGTGATTTATCCGGTGGACAGCGCTATCCGACGTTTGAACAACCGGGGCCTGGATAGTGACACGTCATCAGTATGGAATTTCTGCGCTCGTTCCTCAGACGTCATTTCGCGGGAAACCAGTGGTGGCTTTACGAAATCTCGGCTGTTCATTCATATGGTGCAAATTTAGTCTCGGCTGAAATCCTTCAAACGACTTACTACAATAAGACTAGCTGAGCCATACCTGATGTTCCTCGGTCATGGTGTTTAAATCTGCTTGTAGTCGTCTGTTTTCTTTCAGAGCCACTTCCCTTCCTCTTGTCATTTCAGCTAACTCGTCATCCCTTGAGTCTAACTGCCTTCTTATGCTCTTTATTTCTCTGTCCTTTAGGCTTCCTTGCTCTAATGCGTGGCTGTTGATACGATACGACAGAGTTTAATTTTTCAGCAATTATTGCTACCCTATATACCGGATAATTTGCGTAAATGGGTGAAAACTAGTCGCCAAATTACCTCAGCTGTGCCTCTAAATCGTCCATGTTCATCTTGAGCTCGCTTTCTGCTTTTTCCTAGAGGTAAAGAAAGAATAATTGAAAACTCATTTGTGAAGTGAATAGACAAGGTTCGATCTACGTCGCTCTCGTGATTCCAGTCTTGGTTCCTACCCGAAAAAGGGGAGGATGAGAGCGGGCAATCTCTTCCCCAGGGATTGGGAAAAGCCCTGAGGCCGTTTCTAACGGCCCCAAAGGAAATTTTGAAATTAAAACCTGTTATAGCAGCACAGTTCTTAGCCCACAAACCAGTCAATTTTGCTTTGTTTACTAATAGTTGCACTGTATTACATATTTTCAAAATCATGGAAACTTCGATCTTGAGCGCAAACACAAGAAACACGAAAAAAGCTTTCCGGGCCTGAAAAGTTACCGGGACTTTCGGGAAACAGGCCCATGGGGACGAGGCTGGAGTGCAGGAGCATGGCGCATGGACAGCAGATGGTATATCAAGCACAGTACAACCTCAAGCACTCATGAGGACCTTATACTAAGTGAGACGTTTTCAGTTCATAACATCGTAACTGTATTGCAATTAGTGAGGAGTTACAAGCAAAGCTCACCTGTAAAGTCAGGTAATATGAACAAAAACCAAAAACAAATCAGACCAGAGAGATTAATGGGACAGAGGGGGAATCTTAGGCCGTTGGTCGGGATATGCGAATTTCACTAAGGTTATTTTTAGAGGTTATTATTGAACAGAAGTCTAATTCCTGGGGCATCCGCACATGTTGATCGATTGTTAGAAATGACACCCGAAGTCCACGCGTGACTGCCTCAAAGCAAACAATGCAGAATATTGTAATGGCGACACAGAAAGAGCCAGAGAATAATGTCCCCTTATTCTCTCTCGACAACACTGAATAGAAATTTGAAACCTCTTCGGAAACCAACTTCCGATTGATTTCAAGCGTTTAACTGGTCTAAAAATAACTTTGGTGCAATTCACATATCCCAAGGGTTATACAGGGCGTTACCCTCTGTATAATTACTTTCTTCTTATCAGATATAATATGGCAGTTCTTTGGTAAGTTGAAAGCCAACTCCCTACTATTGAAATGTCAGCGTATATAAGGTTTAGAAAAAAAAAAGAAAAAGAATTTTGGAGGATGTATCCCCTACAAGGACACACAAGGCACACGACGCCGGCGCTATCAATTTCGTTACCAGAGTTTCTCTTACCGACAAACAGACCCGTACAAGACGTGCAAGGGATCTTCGCCAGGACAGGCGGCAATGCAGCCTTTAGAACTAAGCTGGGTATAATGTGGAAGTTGATAAGTTATACAAATGTACAGCACTGAGCAAATTACGAGTGTACTGAGCCAATTGTTATTATTTAAGCAAAAAGAAATTAATATTCACCAATCATAACACTAACTTACGACACAAATTTCACTTCGGCTGTGGATTTATTGAAGCCAGTGGGCAGTCGCTAAGAAGTTTTGACTAACAGAAATCTTAAAAGTTGTCTTATGTATAATAAAAATTGCATTCCAGTTGCGCTGCACTCGAAAGGTGCAAGAAATTTGTGGAAAGTCCTAAGAGATCATGTCGGGGATTTAAAAAATGCAAACAACTGGTACACCACGTAAAAACAGCGATTCTTACCTCATCGCCTCCAACAAACGTTTTAAGATAATTTAAAGAGTGAAGAGCCGCAACCCATGCCATTGTCGTAAAGTTGGACGTTGCAAAACCTTCAAAATGTGTCTACTAGTTCTACTTCGCAAGAAAAAGAAGCGTTTTGGACTAAAAGTCGACCCCGGTGGATCAACATAAAATATAAAACACTGGTTTTGTTTTGTGTTGTGACATGTTGTTGCTGTGGTATTCATACAACGAAGACGACAGCGTCAGAAAACTGCACGACTTGTTCAAATAACAACACGGCGTCCATTGAAAGAAAAGTAAACACGACGCAGGCCAGTCGCTAAAAGCTACATTGTTTAACATCATATACAAACAGTTTGTTTACTTTTCACAACACGCAATCCTTATCAGTATGACAATGGAATAGTTTAACTGTTGAAGCTGAATAATTGGGACGAATATGCAATTTTTATTAGACCAATGGTGATCCTTGATAACACGACGCTGACCGAGTTCAGCAACCTTCATCCGCCCTGGCAGTATCTTTCAGTTAACTTTTCGCATTACTGACTACATGTAAAAAAAAGTTTCCCTTGCTATGTCAAGGCAGGGTGGGCAAAGATCTTTGGATGCAACTTTAAGACATTTTCCAGACTTGCCCAAAATTTAAACAATAATTTGTTTTCCCAGACTCGAGGTTAACAAATAAACGATCGTAGCATGCATAACTGGCGCTTTATAAGCCAAGCGACGCGTGTGCGGCATTTTGAGCGAAGCGAGACGCTCCTCCCCTCGTCTCCCACTCTGCGCAAAATACCGCGTTCGCCTCGCTTGGCTCATAATCTCCTGTTATGCAGGCTAAGACAATCGAAACACAGGAAGGAACTGAGGATTTCACACGATGACAGATACAGATACAGTTTTGAGAAAAAAAATACAAAAACTCCACACTATCTACCTTTTCCCCAGAATTTATCTTATTTTATTTTCCAGACTTTTCCAGGTCTGGAAAACTGGTTCACCAGTTACAAGACGTTTTCAAGAATTCAAGGTTGCCTTCGATTGGAAAATCTGGATGTATATCTTGAAATCCGGATTATGGATTTGCAATCGAACGCAAAAACGGATTTCACTTCCGAGAAATCCGTCCTGAAAGTGGATTTCAATCATGAAATCCAAATCCGCTTGTTTGGGAAATCCGAAAAAACGGATTTGCAAAACTGTCTCGTGAACAGTGGTCTATTTTCTGCTATAACTATGAGTGCGCGTGCGAGACCGTTGTTCAGCGTTGAAATCCGCTTTCAGATTTCGCAGTCAATTGAAAATCCGAAACCCGGATTTCAAAATCTAAATCCAGATTTCCTAATCGAATGCACACAGTTGTAGAAGAAACACCTAAACATACCAGCTGTATTCTTCTTGCCTCCAGATTCATAATTTCCTCAGTTTTCTCGTCCACTTGCTGTGATAAATCATCTCGTTCTCGATCCAGAGACTTCACTGTTGCTTTTATTTCGGCTGTCTCTACACTCTGTTCAGCATTTCTCTTTTCAATTTCCTCTACAAATACATGTTACAATTATATAAAACACACTATATACATAAAATACATTGCCCTTTGGAATGCATGTGAACTGATTCGATGTAATATCACCTGTGGCTAAAATTACTGCAACGGCATACGGGCTGAGCAACGTTTCGCTAAGACCTCGAAACTTTCTCAAAACCTTGTACAATATTTTACACACCATTCCACGCGGCTTTGCAGCTCCTGACTGCCAAACTTTGCGTGCTCTAACAATCCTGCCGGCTTCGCAGGCTAAATCAAAACATAATAAAAAGAGCAGACCTTGAAAAACGTATCAATTGCAGTGACTTGTATTTTTAAATCAATTACACTCGCAGAGTATTGAGAGTCTGTTTACCAAACGGTAACCAAGAGTGCGTTTCTCAAAACTCCCGAAATCATTTCGATCCCCAAAAACTGTTTGAGGTGCACAAAGTTCATAAGAAGAAACGTGATTTGTAGTAAATTAAAAAAAATCGAGAAGGTTATTGACCTACTTGGCACAATAACTCCCAAGGATCATTAAAAAATCGATGAGGAAAAACCTTCACCAGGCCCGGAAATTCTTCTGGAGTTTTTAGAAATGCAATCTCTATCATAAATAAATCACTACGATTTCAACGACATTAAATCACAACCCACTTCATATATACTAAGTTTACCTATCCTTCGCTCCAGCTGCAGGCATTTCTCCTCAGACGCCTGCAGATCACCCGCCCTTCTGTTCAGCCTCCTTTCCATGTCCTCTACAGTGCGTTGATGCTGGTCAGCTGTTAACTGTACTTTGTTAACCTCGGCTTCAAGTTCCAGCGCCGAGTCCTTTGCCATGGAAAGCTGGGCACTAGTTTGTTTTAACTGGTCCTCCAGACCGGACACCATGTTTCTGAGTGACGTCACTCGGGAGTGAAGCTCGTTTCTGTCTGCCTCAACCTAGGTGAATAGAAGCACTGTTAGGTCTCGTCCTGGCCTATGGACATTTTCTTTTCAGTTTGGTTATGTATTTTATTTTTTTCGGGTAGGCACGTCTGTACAAAAACGAGTATTAACAAAGACAGAACTTTTGGAGGGTTGTGGAAAAGAACATTTAAAGCTGCGTTTAGTCTAGCCTGCGAGAGGAAGGAGAGCTTGCAACTACATCTCTGGAATTTGAATATCGGCATCAAAAAAATCTATGCGAAATTCTGCTTGGCGGAGATGACATTAGTAATGACGTCATTACCCTTGGCACGTGTTTTTCAATGTTTGTTTACACTCGCGCACGTTTCCGATTCGCACTGATTGGCAAAAATATGGCAGCTCAGTCGACGGGGAGCCACGTGGGAATTGGAGGTGGAATTCAAATTCCAGAGATGTAGTTGCAAGCTCTTCCTCTTTCCCCCGCCCTGCCGCCAGAGCGCCACGGAGAGCTTGCTCACAGGCTATGTTTGGTCATCAGGATATGCAAATAGTTTGCCCAGGCACGGTTTCCTAGTTTCTTTGCTTGAAATTTAAAGAAAATGCTCATTTGATTACTTACAGTATTCAGCACTGTTTACACGTTTGCTGTGTTCACGCGGTTGCGAACAAAGATCACTTCCAAATAATACATAATTATATGAATTTCATGCATTGAAACCGCGGAATGAATAAATAAATGCAAAGAAAATCATTACAGTTAAAGACACAACTTATGCAGTTGCGAAAAGAAAGCCTGAATTTCCGGGATTCGATCCCTGACCTCTGCGATACCGGTGCAGAGCTCTAACCAATTGAGCTACAACCAGTTGCAAAAGTACTTGAGACACTGTACCGTGTTTTGGCATAAATGGCCTTTCCATGATCTTGTGCTTGTGATCCCCCTCCACCCCTTATCAATGTTGCTAGCAATACAAGACCATACTCAAAACTTGGAGCAACCACTTTGAAAGGGAGGGAGGGGGAGGTCAGTGTTATATCTCACAGACTTGTGACCAGGAGCGATTTGAAGCAAGAAAGGTCGTTTTCTCGAGGGAGTGTCTCAACATTTTTGCAACTGGGAGCTGGTCATAGGTCAGGGTTCGAATCCCGGCAAGTCTGAAGTGTTTCAGGCTTTCTTTTTTCGCTACTGTTGCGTTTTTAACTGCGATGATCTTCCTTGCATAGGAGGATTTCTTCGCAAATTTGCCTTACAAAATCTTCATCCCTTACCTTTTCTAACATGGTCTCCAACCTTTGTATTTTATCTTCATATCGCCTGCGCTCTTGAAGAGCACTATCCTTTGCGCCCTAAAATTAAATTAACAGAGTTTAATATAAATGAATAGTTCGCTCTTTTTGCCCAATTTCAGGGTCTTGTTTGCTCGCTTAATTCTTCTATAAAGAATGCGGTCGTGGGTTTTCACACTGAATAAGGATTAGGGTACACAGCTAATTCAAAAGGAGGATTGACTACACGACAAGAAAAGGGATCAGACAAATTTAGACAAAACAGGTGCAATCCCTCGTACAGAGTAACTGGCCACCAACGGGATTGCCGACTATCAGCGCAGTAGCAGTAGTTATTGGTGCTTTTTTTTCCATTTGATATTGTAGGGGTGCTATTGGACAGAGTATTAATGAATTCGTAAAGACAAAAGAACATAGGTATATTTAGAGATGAACAATATGACATTTCACGTACGCCTTCAATTGAAAAGGAATATCCTTGTTGCTTAGTTTTCATGATCCATTTTCTTTTGCTACACAAATTTCTTTCATAACGCACATTTGGTTTAAGTGACCGTATTAACGAAGTAAATTTTTAAAAGAACATATACACCGGTATTTTTCAATGTGGCCTTTGGCCAGGGCTTCTTTATAAAAAGGGGCATTTTCCCGGGAAAAAATAAAGTGGCAGCTGAAAAAAAATTGAGGGGGTCGCATAGCGGGGTCCCCTCGTAAGTGAACAATGTCCTGCTTAGTCGGACAGAGGGAATCGGATTTTCACGGCAACAAACCTTCAACTTGTCTTCCAAGTTGTCAAGGTGAATATTACTTCTTCTTACATCTGCCAAGGCTGCGTCTCTCTCAGACTCCACTCGGACCAAGACCGCCGAGGCGGCACGAGAGGGTGAGGGAGACCGGGCTCGAGACACCTGGCGGCGTAATCTCTGGATTTCATCCGTGGCCTGCTCGTAAAGCAGCTGAATGTTATCCCTGTCCTGTGTTAATGTTTTCACATTCTCCTGAATCTAGAGCAGGAAAGTCATATTTAAATGGTTAAATTGGAAAACTCCCTTTCAGGCTGGCTGGAAGTTTAGAGGATGTTGTAGCAGACCGCAGTATACCAATTATGGTTTCGTTGGCCATTTGCAGGTTGGTGTGGGGACTGGGTCGTTGTTGCGTCGAATTGCACTGTGGGACTGTTTGGGGGACGAATATTTTGACCCAGTTTACTGCGCAAATATTTAATAGCCAATAACAGAAGCGACAGCTTTCTCAAAACACAGTCCTTTAGTGCAATTCGACAACACGCCGGCCCAATCTCCCTGGCAACCTCTATATGGCTAATAACCTGGCGCCAGTTGTTCAAAAGAAGGATAGCTATATCTACCGGATAAATCTCTATCCAGGGGATGACGCAATTGGTTTCCTACTTATCTGCTGAATAGAGCTATCCATCTATTGTGCAAACGGGGCCAGATGTTAACTTTCTGAAGAATTTGCAAACATCATCCTTTCATAATTAAATGTCAGTCATCGCAAGGAGTTTACATACATGCACGAAACAAGCATAACAGTTTGGCAACTTCGAACATACAGCGTCCGACGCGCATCGCAAGCGGCACCCTACCACCACGTGAACAGACCTCTCCCACACGCATTTCCGCTCCAGTGAAGACTCAAAAGGGAATGAGGTCCAGGCTTGGGTGGATAACCATTAGACATCTTGCAGTTCTTTTTCGGACACCTTTACCCAATTTTGAATTTACGGCATTCACATCTCCATCTGTATAATAAGGACTTAAAGATCTTATTTACGGTCCAGTGAAGACTAAAAGGGGAATGAGTTCCAAGCTTGGGTGGATAACCATTAGACTTCTTGCAGTTCTTTCTCGGACACCTTTACCCAATTTTGAATTTACGGCATTAACATCTCCATCTGTATAATAAGGACTTAAAGATCTAACGACGCTACGGCGACGGGAACGTCAAAAAAAAAACAACAACAACTTCGCACGTGCATCACACTTTTTTGTACATTTCCTTAACGTTTTTGCACTACTACGACGTGAAATTACCTATTTTCGCGTTTTATGGAGGACATAAACAAGCTACGACGAAATTTTATTTTTCTCTCTGAACTTTAATATGGTCCCTTGGTGTTCAACTTGAGGAGGATTGGACAACATTTGACAAAGTGGGTAAGAAAAATCGAAGCTCCCGAAGAACGCAAATTCACTGTTTAAGCGACATTCTTGTTGCCGTCGCGTCGTTGAATCTTAAAGTCTCCAATATTGCGCAGGATACAAATAAACTTCCTACCTCTGTAAGATGTTTCTCAAACTTCTCCACAAGTGATTGCAGCTCGTCTCTTTCTCTTCTCAAACGATTTGTTTCATTTGGGCTGTCACGTGATATCTAGGGTAAAAAATAGTTTAAATGATGATGCGATCCAGCCTGGTCCCTAAGTAAACCTTCTCGGCTCAGTTAAACTTGGTCCTGGTTGCTCAAGCGTTGGATAGCGCTTTTCACCGCATAATTCGCTATCCATTGGATAAGTAATACCAAAACCAAGTGCGCTCTCCACAGGATAGTAATTTATCCGTTGGATAGCCCTATCCACCTTTTAAACAACTGGAGCCTGGACTCTACTGCGAACCGTGACGTCATTGTAAGAACTCCCAAATAAGACTGTGCACCTCTCTCGCCTGCTCCTTTCTGAATTTCAAGCGGAAAACGAGGCAAGAGAGAACGCCTTGATCTAGGCTGGGTATTCGTAAGAACCTGTAAAATAATTTTACTCACGTGACCACAAACTACTCAGAGTTTTTTTTTTTCGACGAATTCTTCGAGCGGGCGAGAGCAAGCGCAGAGCGTGAAAATGAGCGCGAATTTTTTCATGGACACACTCGGAGCAAGAAAAAAATAGAGGGTCTGTGAACAGGCTACGAGAGGCTTAAAAAATGGAGTTTGCAAGATCTCGAAAGCAAGCCAAGCGGATGGTCGGTCTGTAAGCATTTCTCTCTTTTAAAAAGTGAGAAAATTTTTTCCAGGGAGAAGGGAATTAACATTAGAAAACAAACGCTTACGATGAAAAAGGGGGGGATTGTGATTGCCCTCTATTCAAATTTCCCAAAACTACATAGAGGAGTTCATTACCCTCTCTCTTGTGGGAGGTGACATTAAAGCGCTCTTTTCCTTCATGTTCCTAAGCAGTTCACATTCTCGTTTGTAAAAGTCTCGTTCTTCCTGAAGCAGCTGAGTCATGCTTTCCAGGTGACCGAGCATCTACAGATAAAGATAAAAAATGAATGTTTGGAAGACTAAGAAGTGTCTTGCTTTTTCTGGCTCTCGGCAACGATAGACGTCATGGACGCCATACTGGTGGACCAGAACAAAAGCCTTTCCCTCCGTTGGGAGCTAAACTCTTTTTTCTCGCAAATTCTGCGAGAAAATTTTTTTTAAGTTGTCCTCCAGCATGGCCGCCTTATCACGTGGTTCAAAAATAGAAATTAATTCCATGTGGACCAAAATTACTGACTGCTTAGTAAAGAACAAACAGATAAACTCGAACCATGTCGTTATTGGTTAGGTATGGGGAGAAAAGGTTGGATACGGCGACAGAGAAAGTAGAAAACCTAATGGTAATAGCCTGTGCCCTCGATCTAGCTTTTTATCTCGCCATTAATATTCATATGGGAAGCTCTGTCAGGCTTACTGGCCTGGGGACAGTGGCTGGTGAGAAATGGAAATTTCTAGCACGCTGGGTAGACTTTCAAAAAGTCCTTCGTCCGATTATGGCGCGGGAAGAAGACGAGCTCTCGACTTTTCGACCTTTCGCGACTTTGTCGCTCGCTCGGCCGGTTCGAAACCTAAGAAACTCATGAGGTCGACTTGTGGCAGGTCTACACGCTGGAATGTTTGTTCATTTTCGGGAGTGTTCAAATGAGATTGGCATGTTTTTACCTTTCCTTTGCTTTTTCCTTTTCGTTTAGTAGTCGGGGAATCTGATGATGTCAAACGCTTTCTCATCATGTCCTGGAGCGACTCACACTCGCCCTTGTAGTAATCTCTCTCCTTCTCCAACGTGTTCACAAGTGATTCTATCTTGGATGGAGACTAAACGTAGAAAATTAATATAGGTGTGGTTAAGATAGTGGTACAGTTTACACCGGTTCTATGTAATCTTTACTGGCTCCTTGTGCAGTGTGAAATAACCTACAAAATACTGCTTCTCGCCTTTAATTAAGGCTCTGAAAGGCATGAGGCAAACCAAGATTCCGCACTACAGATGAGTCTACATCATTATGGTAGAAATTGTATGAATTTTGGTGTCTTTGGGACAAAGAGGACTGTCCTGTACATAATAGAAATTACCCAGAGGTGCCCGTGAAGAGAGGTAATTGACTGTATATCATAACTGAACTATTATGATAAACTGGTTGAACCAGTTTATTATAATTGTCAACGCTCCTCTAAGAGTTGAGCGCTCTCTGAAATACATTCAAATCAAGTTCAAGAATTTACCCGAACTATTACATATTTAAAGAGCATCTCGTCTTTAAGATCAGCTTATTAGTACTTCCCTGTAATAGCTAGCGAAGTAATGTTGTTACATACAAAGATAATGATCGGTAGCCCAAAGCTGTGAAACACCCTTCCTGTCACCATTAGAGGCGCGCCAAGTCTAAGCACCTTTAAGTCGTATCTGATAGCCTACATTGTAGTTTTATAACATGTAACTCAGTGGAATGTTATATGATATTTAATTTTAATAGTTATTTGTGATTAGTTTTCTCTTCTTTCCCTCCCTGTGTGTTCGAGCTTTCAAGCTTTGTTTTCGTTCCGTTGCCGACACCCTGCTAATAAATAAAGCTGCAGTAAATCCCTAGCTACAAGTTAATTACCTTATCTCGACTCCTCTTGGGTTTAACAGATTTAGCCAGCTTAAGTCTTTCCAGATCCATGACAAGCTCGCGTTCTAATTGAAAAAAAAAGATACTAAGTATTAAGGTGATGTTACACGGGACGATTCACAACCACGATTTTTAGCGCAACACAGAGTTGCAGCATTGTTGCGACAGTAGGGACCTTAAAATCCGACGACGGCGACGGCAACGCCACAAAAGCAATAGGTTTAATTAGCAAAACAACAATTTTGCACGTGCATCAAGCTTTTTTGTAGATTTCTTTGCCGTCACTGCACGACTACGACGTGAAAATGCCTAATTTCACGTTGTACAGAGGAAGTACACAAGCGACGACAAAATTTCCTCTCTCTTTCAGCACTTGGATACAGTTCTTAGGAATTCAACTTTAGGATGGTTCGCCTACATTTGAAAAAGTTAGTGACTTACAGTAATCGCGATGTAGATTGAAAGAACATGAATTCACTTTTTCAGCGACGTTTACTCAGCTGTTGCCGTCCTCGGATCTTTAGGTCCCTATTGTTTCGAATGGTTACATCATTGTTCCAGCATTGCAACGCTGTGTTGCACAAAAATCGTCGTTGCGAATCGTCCCGTGAAACATCACCTTTAATGATTTCATAGTCTCCTAGCCTGAGAAAAAAAGCCCATATTTCACGACGCGACCACTAAAATGACATCTGAGGAGAGTTTGCTGAAATTCCACACAGATGACGTGTTGTCACTACCCAGAACTGGGTAATGCTTATGATTAGTCGCGCTGCAAAAGAAATTTGTTTCAACCAATCAGACGCAGTGCCCAGATCTGGGTAGTGACGCGTCATCAGTATGGAATTTCTTCAGTCATTACGCAGTCGTTATTTGGCGGGAAAACCATTGGTGGTGTCACAAAATGTCGGCTGTTTTCCAAGGCTACTATTTTCCTCGAAAAGGGCACATCTACGCTACAGAATGGTGCATTTGGTTTTCACATCCAACTATGGCATTCTTTCAGGATTAAAAACTAGACTCTGAATGGACTTGAGGTAATTCCTCTGGCCCGAGTTGCTCGAAGCATGGTTAGTGCTAACCAGCGTTAAATACCATGGAAACCTATACATTTTGATACCTCTTAACCAACGGTTAGCGCTAACCAGGCTTCGA